CCAAGGTTATCCCGGTTCCTGGGGTTTGGGTGGTGTCAGGTTACGAGGAGTGTATTACTGTTCCTTTTTGCCGACCAGAGTCATATATCTCTATTAATAATGATGAGGTATCTAGAGCTTTGACAAGGAGGACTGCGAACTATGACATGGATTCTGAAGATGTGGAATGGCTAAAGAAGTTCAATAATGAGTTTTTCACAGAAAATGAACTTCAGAACCATGTTTCAGAGGATAATTTTGAGTTAATGGTTGATGTCTTTGAGAAGGCGTACTTTTGTAGTCCTGATGATTACTCTAATGAGGAAGCAGCAGTTAATCTTTGCTTGGATCTGGGTAGGAGGGAAGTAGTGCAAGCTGTGTATAGTTACTGGGTGAAGAAACGGAAGCAGAAGCGCTCAGGACTACTTAGGGTTTTCCAGGTAAAGATTTCCTGCAAAGTGTATGCTTTATATTTGCTTGAGATTCTAGATATTTGGAAGAGTTGGAGTTACAACCCACTACAAATCAATATTTTGAACTTTTATTCTACATGATCCTTTTTCCCCTGTTTCCTTCTTTTTAGTTTTCTGAAAACTTGGGTAGTATATATATTCAAATTCAGCTACATGTAGTTTTTGTTGCTTAGCAATTGGTTTATGTGATCGACCTGGATAATCCTTTCTAGCAGGGTCAGCAAGTGAAAAAACCTGCCTTGATTCCAAAGCCTGCACTACGAAAGAGAAGATCCTTCAAACGGCAGGCTAGCCAATTGGGAAGAGGCAAACAACCTGTTCTCATGCAAGGTTTGTTCAGTCTAACCCCTGTAAATTTTTGTGCGTTACCTAGTTTGTTTTATGCCAATATTAATCCGTTTATAGATTTGCCCTGTAGGCTTGTTCTGGAACTCGATGAAATTTATCGTTTATCAACTTTTGAAAACTGATGTTGATTTAGATAGCTCTTGCGATGATGCATCATTTAGGGTTGGCATGCACATTTAATTAAAACATCCAATGTGAAGCACTCTGTTTGGATTCCTCTTTAGTTCTCTTGATGGAGTATTTGATGGAATATATAAGAAACCGAAATGGTTACGAGTAAAATGCCAACGGATCTCATTCATTGCAACTGTTTTACTTCATTTTAGGTGACTTCCTTTCACTGAAGATATAAATCTGATGTTTCTTTCATTGTACAGCAATCGTAGAGCAGCAAGATGCCATGGAAGAACAGAATGCTATGCTTAGAGTTGAGGAAGCTAAAGCCTCGGCAAAAAGATATGTTGAATCAGCAGTCGGTAAACGTCAGAGGGCGCAACTGCTCATGGACGTTGCTGATTTGGCAACTTACAAAGCAGCAATTGCACTTAGAATCGCAGAAGCTGCTGAAGTTGCAGAATCAGCAGAGGCTGCAGCTGCTCATTTTTTAGATGGAGAGGCATAGCTATTGACACTTCTGATGCTATTATTGATTGCTGATTGCTGAAGTTGATCCACAGCCTCAACATGGCTGTTTTTGAAGCCTTTGGAGGACAACCTATGAAGAGGAAACAAAGTACTGTAATCATGTATAGATTTTTGATTGATTGATGTACATTCTGTATTATTATTATAGCCTCACACCAAATATTTTACAAGGGGATTTGGTTTATTTCCTTGAAAAAAAATGGCGAAAAAAAAAGAAGAAAATTATAACCAAAAAAAAAAAAAAAAAGGGTTTCTAGCTTCTGCTTGGTTGAGATAGATTCCTTGTGTACATATTTTAAGCTAGAGTGACCCATAATTTTCTTCCTGTACATTCTTTTAGTGTAAGAGTGATTTATAGTTTTCTTAGCGCTTTGGAATAGACAGAAGAAATCAGGCTGTAAATGACAAAATTCGGAGTTCTGCAATAGATGAAGGTACAGTATTTTATATTAATGGTGGATTAGGTTCAATTAGAACATTCCATTGTTAATCTGTTGAGATAAATACTACTTTAGAATATCATGAAAATCTACAAATGGGGGAACCAAAAGCTTCGTTTGCTATACTGGGATTGGAATCAGAGACTTGTAGATAAATAGTTAATAATCTTCTTATTTATTAAAATATTTTTTGCAGTGTCTTGGCCGCAAAATGGCCTATCGCAGCTAAGAGTAGTGCTGGCCACCGGTGAGGTGGTTGGCGATGGACGATTCCGTTTGAAATTTTTAATGTGTTCTAATTTTGAATTTGTGAGATACCGAACTTGAAGTTGAAGGAGATAGGTATTAGAGGGCGTTTGGTTGGAGGGTATTTGACATTACTGGGGCTAAGTGATCTTATATAACTTGATTACCATGTTTGGTTGTCAAGTAATATAAGATACCGGTAATCTTTAAATACCAATAGTTGTTACTATTGGTAATATTGGAGGTAATCTGATTACCTTCATTTTCTTAGGTATTTTAAGATTACCAGGGTTATCTTCTTTTATTACAATTTTATCCCTTATTAATAAAAGTTTTGGACAATAATGCCTTTATTTTAAAAGAAATTTACATTAATATCCTATTTCAATTTTACCCTTGTTTAATAAAAATTTTGGACAATAATACCCTTATATTTAAAACAATTTACAGACCATCACTGTCACCCAGCCACCACCACCACTGCCACCCAGTCGCCACCGTCGACAGCGGGCCAACCACCACGGACCGCCTATGGAAAGTTGCTGGAGTCACTAAAAAAGAACGAGATTCGGTGAGAGGCTCCGGGAGGCTTCGATATGTCAATTTCCAGCCATATTGATGGCCAAAAACGGCCATATCAAGTCAGATCTGGCCGAAAATGGCCAAATCGATGGAATTGGCCGTTAACGGCCAGATCCTATCTGGCCGATAATGGCTAGGGATCTTCCCTGATATGGCCGTTTTCGGCCATCAATATGGCCAAAAACGACCATATAAGAGCCTCTTGGTCACGGCAAGCGATTCGCAGGGACTTTCGGAGATTTCCTGAGATGGTTTGCGGTGGTGGCAGCGACGGCAGGAGGTGGGGGTGATTTCATAATAAATTAAAGTTTTATATAAACGGGGGTGTTTTAACTAAATCTAAAATATTGGGGGTTAAAGATATTATTCAAAAATTGATGATAAAAATAATATTATATTAATATTTGAAAAGGGGACAATTTAGTAATTTCAATAACATACCCACCAATTTATTTCCCATAACCAAACATATTAATATAACATACCCACCAACTAATCAAACACATTTTCCTAAAGATTCCTAGTAATCTTCCAAGTTAATCTATCTTTCCAGTAATTCAACATTCCCAGAAATTTAACATTCCTGAACCAAACGCCCCTTTAGTGTTAGCCCCTTTCTTTGTTTATATATGTTGAAGAATGATAAAAATGCCCCTTTTCTACCAAAGTTGATGTCTGAAAAGTCTGAAACTGAAAAAAAGGGGTCATTTTTGGGAAATCAAGGGGGAAAAAGCTCCGTTTTAAAACCCGGACCAGACCAGCTGATCGAACCGATCGGATTGGGACTTGGCAACCTCTTCGGTCCAGTTTAGGCTCTAGGGTTTTTTTTTTTTTTTTTTTTTTTTTTTTCTATATTTCATATTTGTGGAGACTAATTAATTTTTTTAGGGGTGTTTTTAAAATATTTCAAAGATTTAGGGACTAATTCGTATTTTTATGGCATTTTGAAATAAATTAAACTTTTAGAGACTAATATATAATTTTTAGGGGTATTTTGTAATATACTAAAATTTAAGGGACTAATCAAACTTTTTAAAAATATTTTTATGGTTGACGGCACTAGTCCAACTGACTGGACCGGTCCACCCATGATGACAGGTCAAGTTTTAAAACAATAGGGAAAAGTTATTTCATGATAAATTGGGGGTCCGAACATTATATAGCCTTTTATATTATTTTAAATTTTTATGTACCACACTAAGTGAGCATTTGGTTTAGTGTCATAATAGATAACACGGATAATCTATCTTTTAATCTGGTAATTACTATATTTGGGTGTTAAGTAATAAAATACTTCGGTAATTGAATAATACCAATAGTGATTACTGTAGGTAATTTAGGGGGTAATTTGATTACCGTATGAAAGAGTGTTATTTTTTTATTATTAGGGTGATTTATTATTCATACCAATTTTACTCTTAATTAATAAACATTTTGGACATAAATGCCTTCATATGTTTACTAAATAACAATTAGCCTAAATGTGCGAAATGACTTTTGTAACCTCATATATTAATTTTTGGACATAAATACCCTCACTATTTACGTGAATAATACCCAAAATACACCTGACACCTAAGAAGATTATCAATCATCAGAACGACTCACGACCGGTCGGATCTGATTGATCGTGCACCGATCTAACTATTTTCGATCAGATCAAAAGATCGAAAATGGCCAAATGATCGTGGATCCGTTAATTTTCGATCAGATCCATGATCGTGAATGGCCACAGATCTGACCATTAATGACCAACACATTAAATAATAGTAATTTAATCTTCAAGGTAATCTATCTCAACATTAATCTTCTACTATATAAAATTCCTAAACCAACGCACTAAGTAATAGTAATTTAAAAATAATATTTAAGAGAATCATGATGCATGATAGCACAAATGCAAAATCCATAATTCGGTATCAATTATCTCCTTTTGTCTTTATAATTAATCCATCTCACTTTCATACAATGAAAAAAATATTAATTTCGCGGAACTTAATGCTTCAACTAGCAGACAAAACACGGCATCACACCATGCAAAAATCTCTCTCCTCTCTTCAAACTCTTCAATACCCTTCTCTGTCATCACCATCCCCATATCCTCCTACTTAAACCATCCCCCAAATCAACATCCATATCCAGCATTTCAAGCTTTCCCAGCTCAACTCTTGCATGCATTCATGCATGTCAATAAATAACTCTCAGAAACTCCATTAAATCATTCTTTTTCATATGTTATTTTTCTTCTTCTTTGTGTTGCATATATTTTTTTTTTAAGTTCGTCAGCATGGCAACTGCACTGGCTGGAGATGATCTTGCCAGGGCGCTTAGCAACCGCTCGACGAGCCGGAGAATGAGTTTGACTTCGTCGGCTAGCAAGAGAGGTTGGGCCTCAGCTAGTATCCGTGAGGTGTGGAATAACCCCACTGATGTGTTCCAGAAAAGTGGGAGAGAAGAAGATGAAGAAGAGCTCAAATGGGCTGCCATTGAGAGGCTGCCAACTTATAATAGATTGACCAAGGGACTCTTGAGGCAAGTTTTGGACGATGGAAAGATTAATTATGAAGAAGTTGATGTTACCAATCTTGGTATGCATGACAAGAAACATCTCATGGAGAGTATTCTCAAAGTTGTTGAAGATGATAATGAAAAGTTCCTCCTCAGGCTCAGGGAAAGAACTGACAGGTGACTCTCTCTCTTGTACTAATACCATTTTTCATCATTTGTTGCTTAACTTATTGCTGAGTGTTTTGAGTTTGTCATTGAAAAGGGTTGGAATTGAGATTCCAAAGATTGAAGTGAGGTTTGAGCATTTATCCATAGAAGGAGACGCATATGATGGAACCAGGGCACTTCCAACTCTGTTGAATTCTTCCTTAAATGCAATAGAGGTAATCATCTTATTTTACTCATAAAATTTCTAGATGCCAGTTTCATTTATGAAATGAATTTTTTTTGCTCAAAAGTACTTATATTTTCCTGTGATGCACAGGGATTCCTTGGATTTTTCAGACTTTTCCCATCTAAGAAAAAGGTTGTTCAGATTCTTCAAGATGTGAGTGGAGTAGTCAAACCATCCAGGTACCTATACTTTACACTGTGCTAAATGAAGAAATTGTGCTCTTCTCATTTATATGAAATTTGTTTACTAATTTAATAATGTTTTGTAATTTTTTTTTCCAATTGTCAGAATGACACTGCTTCTAGGACCTCCAGGATCCGGAAAAACTACATTGCTTCAGGCTCTTGCTGGGAAGAAGGACAAGAGTTTAAGGGTGAGTCATTATAGATTCTTAAAGTTGTCCTTATATGACCTGTTCTTTACTCATTTTGTCTCAATTCTCCGAATAAATTCTGAGTAATTTTAGCGCTCAAGGTATTTTTGATTTTGAACACTTTGTAATCTGTAACTTTATTGAGCAGGTGACAGGCAGAGTCACTTACTGCGGTCATGAATTTTGTGAATTTTTTCCTCAAAGAACATGTGCTTATATCAGCCAGCATGATCTTCATCATGGTGAGATGACGGTTAGGGAGACAATGGATTTCTCCGGGCGTTGCTTGGGAGTTGGAGCCAAATATGAACTCTTGGCGGAGTTGTCAAGGCGAGAAAAGGAAGCAGGCATCAAACCTGATCCTGAGATAGATGCATTCATGAAAGCCACTGCAATGGCCGGCCAAGAAACAAGTCTAGCCACTGATTATGTGCTCAAGGTTGGTTGCTTTCATCTCCAATTGAAACTTAACCTTTTAGCTTAATTTTCCCCAAGTTTCCAAGCTTGACTTGTTAACATAAATACTGTGATAGATTCTTGGATTGGATATCTGTGGTGATATTATGGTGGGTGATGAAATGAGAAGAGGCATATCAGGTGGGCAAAAGAAGCGTGTTACTACAGGTATGTAAATTGTAGTTGATAAGTTTAAAAATGCATTATGAATTAATATTGACATTCTTGTTCCACATTTAATCATGTACAGCATTTTAAGAAAGGGTAAATTGTATAAATGCAGGAGAAATGTTGGTTGGACCTGCCAAAGCTCTTTTCATGGATGAGATATCAACTGGTCTGGACAGCTCTACCACCTTCCAGATTGTCAGGTACATGAGGCAGATGGTTCATATTATGGATGTGACCATGATAATATCTCTTCTGCAACCTGCACCTGAAACCTATGATCTTTTTGATGATATTATCTTACTCGCCGAGGGTCAGATTGTGTACCAAGGTCCAAGGGATAATGTGCTAGAATTCTTTAAAAGTGTAGGCTTCTAGTGCCCTGAAAGGAAAGGAACAGCAGATTTCTTGCAAGAGGTTACTTCCAAAAAGGACCAACAGCAGTATTGGTGCAAAAAGGATGAGCCTTACAGATATGTTTCCGTACCTGAATTTGTGGATCACTTCAAATCTTTCCATGTTGGTCAAAAACTTGCTGAGGAACTTAGAGTTCCCTATGATAAATCTAAAGCTCACCCTGCAGCTTTGGTTAAAGAAAAATATGGAATCTCAAACTGGGAACTCTTCAAGGCATGCTTTGCAAGAGAGTGGCTTCTGATGCAGCGCAATTCTTTTGTGTATATATTCAAGACAACTCAGATCTTCATCATGTCAATTATAGCCTTCACCGTCTTTATAAGAACACAGATGAAGTATGGTACCATACAAGATGGAGGAAAGTTCTATGGTGCATTGTTCTTCAGTCTCATTAATGTTATGTTTAATGGGATGGCAGAGCTTGCATTGACTATATTTAGACTTCCTGTGTTTTTCAAACAAAGGGATTTCTTGTTTTATCCAGCTTGGGCTTTTGCCTTACCAATTTGGGTCCTTAGGATTCCCCTCTCCTTGATGGAGTCAGGGATATGGATCATCCTCACATATTATACCATTGGGTTCGCTCCTTCCGCAAGCAGGTCTGTCTTTCCTTCCATTACTCCTGATGAATGAGTAAAACTCATCTGCATATAACTCGCAAAACACATATACGCTGTCATGTATCAATTTCTTGTTTATATTCACTAACACATTAATATGTCACAGATTTTTCCGTCAACTATTGGCATTCTTTAGTGTGCATCAGATGGCTCTATCTCTCTTCAGATTCATTGCAGCACTCGGAAGAACACAAGTTGTCGCCAACACGCTTGGCACCTTCACTCTGCTGGTGGTTTTTGTACTTGGTGGATTCATTGTTGCCAAAGGTTAGTGTTCATTCCCTTATGCTGTTGATGCTTCTTCATTTGCTTAAGCTATCTGCAATTCTAGTATAGTAGGGATGATTTAAACAATTTCAATCCTTCTGCAGATGACATCAAACCATGGATGATATGGGGTTACTATATTTCTCCTATGTCGTATGGTCAGAATGCCATTGTCCTCAATGAATTTCTTGATGATAGATGGAGTGCAGTAAGATTTCTGAAGCTAATTTGTCACTAGCACCAACACTTTTCCATTTTATGCTAATAAATGGTGTGTTGTTTTTTCTTGCAGCCCAATCATGCACGTTCTCTAATTGATGAACCCACCGTTGGAAAGGCTCTTCTCAAATCCAGAGGCATGTATACTGAAGACTACTGGTATTGGATTTGTATTGCGATACTCCTCGGATTTTCTCTGCTTTTCAATCTCTTCTTTATAGCAGCATTAACTTACCTGAACCGTAAGTATTGTTTCTCATACTACTACCATATCAAGTATACAAACAATTTTTGATTTTGACAATACTTCTAAATTAAAATGCAGCTTTGGGAGAAACTAAATCTGTTACCGTGGAAGATGGCGAGGGTAACAAGAGCAGGAAGCAGTCGTCTCCTTATGGACAGAGAAAAGTGGGAGCAACAGAAATGAGTGCAGCATCTACAGCCCCATCGTTTGAAGGTTCCAAATCTCACAAATTTTGTTTCTAAAACTTGTCATTGATTTGTCTTCTTAATGGTAGTTGCTGATAAAGATGATTTAACACTGTATATATCTGAAAAATACTATGGGAACTTAACTTGCTTCTATATGAGTTGAAGAGTTTTACCTTATAAGTTAAGTAATCCACTTTGCATTACAGAGATTCTTGTTGATCACATTTCGAAGGTGCAATTATGGTCATTGTGTCTTGTGTTTCATATGTGCGTAACCTTACATTCATCCGGTGGAATTGATGGCGGAGCGTAAACCTTTAGCTAGCAGAAACCCAATGAGCCAAGTTTCTGCTTTCTCACTTAAGCTATGCGCATGAATGCAGGTATTGATATGGCAGTAAGGAATCATCCAGAAAACTCCAATTCTGGTGCCACAGAAAATGCAGTTACGAGGAAAGGAATGGTGTTGCCCTTCCAACCGCTGTCACTTGCATTTGATCATGTCAGTTACTTTGTTGATATGCCAGCTGTAAGTCTCTTCTCCGATGTCTCTATTGTCTATGTATTCTAGTTTTTAAGTTGACCTTGTTCATTGGTCAAACACTGTATTCCATATGGGAAAGATTTAGAAATATTTCAAAGAAAGGCAACTCCAAATCAATTAGTAAATAATGCAGTGGTGAAACTTTCGCAGGAAATGAAGAGCCAAGGAATTGAAGAGGATCGCCTCCAACTGTTACGAAATGTTAGTGGTGCTTTTAGGCCTGGTGTTCTAACAGCATTAGTTGGTGTAAGTGGTGCTGGGAAGACTACTTTGATGGATGTTCTAGCAGGCAGAAAAACTGGGGGATATATTGAAGGAAGTATCAGTATTTCTGGTTACCCCAAGAACCAAGAAACTTTTGCTCGGGTTAGTGGTTACTGTGAACAGAATGATATTCATTCTCCAAATGTTACAGTATATGAGTCTCTACTGTACTCTGCTTGGCTGCGCCTACCAAAGGATGTCAATGCAGAAACGCGAAAGGCATGTTGTCTTACACCTAGATCTTGTCCTCATTAAGTCCAGTATTTTAAAGTTTTACCAACATTTTATTGATATCATTATTTTGGTAATTTATTCCGCAGATGTTTGTTGAGGAAGTCATGGATTTGGTTGAGCTGAATCCGCTGAGGAACTCTCTAGTTGGCCTTCCAGGAGTTGATGGTCTGTCAACTGAGCAGCGAAAGCGACTCACAATAGCTGTAGAGTTGGTTGCCAATCCATCCATCATTTTCATGGATGAACCAACATCAGGTCTCGATGCTCGAGCTGCTGCAATTGTGATGCGAACAGTGAGAAATACTGTGGATACAGGACGGACTGTCGTCTGCACAATTCACCAACCGAGCATAGACATTTTTGAAGCTTTTGATGAGGTATTTGAAAATTTTAATATCTTCAATTTGGTTTCTGCCTTTAACCTTGCGTCTTATTGATATGATTTCACTTTGCCTATAGCTATTCTTGATGAAAAGAGGAGGACAAGTCATTTATGCCGGACCTCTTGGGATCCAATCCCACAAGCTTGTAGAATATTTTGAAGTGAGTGTAAAATTTTGGCGTGCTTGTATTGTGATCTATGAAGACTGCTTGAAAGATTGAAACTAAATGTTCGAGTTTTGTTCATTACCAATATCTATAATGTTTTGCAGGCTGTCCCAGGTGTACCAAAGATCACAGATGGTTACAATCCTGCTACATGGGTGCTGGAAGTCAGTTCTAATTCAGTGGAAGCTCAACTTGATGTCGATTTTGCTGACATTTATGCCAACTCTGATCTGTATCGGTAAATGGCGTTATATAACTTTATCAATTCACCTTCATTTTAATGTCTTCTCTTAACTATAGAAATAGATTTACATTGTCATCTTTCTTTTCACCAGGAGGAATCAAAGACTCATCAAAGAACTGAGCACGGCAGCACCAGGATCAAAGGACCTTTATTTCCCCACCAAATATTCACAAGACTTCATTACTCAATGCAAGGCTTGCTTCTGGAAACAGCACTGGTCCTACTGGAGGAACCCGCCTTACAATGCCATTCGGTTCTTTATGACAATATTTGTTGGACTTATATTTGGAATGATTTTCTGGGATAAAGGAGATAAGATGTAAGTAAAGATTTTTATTTTTTATCCTATCATTGTTACAGTGGATTCCTGAGCAGGACATTATTTCTGATTCGTAAATTGATATTGAGTCAACTGCAATACATAATGTAAACAGACACAAGGAACAAGACCTGATAAATCTGCTGGGGGCAATGTATTCTGCTGTCCTTTTCCTTGGAGCTACCAACACTTCTTCGGTGCAGTCTGTTGTGGCGATTGAACGAACAGTCTTCTACCGTGAAAGAGCAGCCGGGATGTATTCACCTTTGCCTTACGCATTTGCTCAGGTGAAAAAACCTGAAACTTTGTACTGCAAAATATTTGAAAGATACTTGTAGCATACTTCAATTCAGGGGATGGAAACAGAAAAAACAAAGAACACAAGCACATTTAACTGACCCTATATTATGCTTTGCAGGTTGCCATAGAGACAATATATGTTGCAATCCAAACATTTGTATACACTCTATTGCTTTACTCGATGATCGGGTTCCATTGGCAGCTTGACAAGTTCTTGTGGTTCTACTTCTTCATCTTGATGTGTTTCATGTACTTCACCCTCTACGGAATGATGCTTGTAGCTCTCACTCCAAACCATCAAATTGCTGCTATTGTTATGTCTTTCTTCCTAAGCTTCTGGAACCTGTTCTCCGGATTCCTCATTCCAAGGACAGTAAGTATCAAACACCAAATACCATGTTAAGGATTAATATGCATATTCACCTTACCTTTTTTTTGTATGAAAATTGAAATTCCATACCTGAAATTTGCAGCAAATTCCGATATGGTGGAGGTGGTACTACTGGGCATCTCCGGTGGCCTGGACAATCTATGGCCTTGTGACATCTCAGGTCGGTGACAAGCTTTCTGAGGTTGATGTAGCAGAAGAAGGTTGGATGACAGTGAAGGAGTACATTAAGAAGCATTATGGATTTGAGCATGACTTCCTTGGAGCTGTTGCTGCAGCTCATATTGGTTTTGTTCTCATGTTCTTCTTTGTCTTTGCTTATGGAATCAAGTTCCTCAACTTCCAAAGAAGATAAGAAAAAGTTGTTGAAAATGTTTTTGCATACGTATGTGCATGAGAATAATTGAAGCGAAGAGGAAACTTAGAACTTTTCTGTGTCTTCAGGGCTTATGCATTCACCCCATGTAATAATTTATTGTTCTTTGATTGAAAATTCTAATAAAAGGTACAAGCCTTGTATTGATTGAATAATTTGAATGAACAATCTTTACAAGCCTTGTATTGATTGAATAATTTGAATGAACAATCTTCCATCACAAATGTGAAATACGATATTCTAAGTTATGTCCATTATTTGTATTTTTTCTTAAATATTACCCTCGGTTAATCCTTTATAGAAAAGAGTAATTTAAGGTTGCAATATAGGTGTCCTCAAGTCAAGTAGGGGTCGGAGTCTGAATAAGTGCCCTAAAATTAAGTAGGTGTCCGAGTCTAACTTTTTGATTAATCGCCTCCAACGTTACGAATGTTAGTGGTGCTTTTAGGCCTGGTGTTTCTAACAGCATTAGTTGGTGTAAGTGGTGCTGGGAAGACTACTTTGATGGATGTTCTAGCAGGCAGAAAAACTGGGGGATATATTGAAGGAAGTATCAGTATTTCTGGTTACCCCAAGAACCAAGAAACTTTTGCTCGGGTTAGCGGTTACTGTGAACAGAATGATATTCATTCTCCAAATGTTACAGTATTGAGTCTCTACTGTACTCTGCTTGGCTGCGCCTACCAAAGGATGTCAATGCAGAAACGCGAAAGGCATGTTGTCTTACACCTAGATCTTGTCCTCATTAAGTCCAGTATTTTAAAGTTTTACCAACATTTTATTGATATCATTATTTTGGTATTTTATTCCGCAGAGATTGTCAGGTACATGAGGCAGATGGTTCATATTATGGATGTGACCATGATAATATCTCTTCTGCAACCTGCACCTGAAACCTATGATCTTTTTGATGATATTATCTTACTCGCCGAGGGTCAGATTGTGTACCAAGGTCCAAGGGATAATGTGCTAGAATTCTTTAAAAGTGTAGGCTTCTAGTGCCCTGAAAGGAAAGGAACAGCAGATTTCTTGCAAGAGGTTACTTCCAAAAAGGACCAACAGCAGTATTGGTGCAAAAAGGATGAGCCTTACAGATATGTTTCCGTACCTGAATTTGTGGATCACTTCAAATCTTTCCATGTTGGTCAAAAACTTGCTGAGGAACTTAGAGTTCCCTATGATAAATCTAAAGCTCACCCTGCAGCTTTGGTTAAAGAAAAATATGGAATCTCAAACTGGGAACTCTTCAAGGCATGCTTTGCAAGAGAGTGGCTTCTGATGCAGCGCAATTCTTTTGTGTATATATTCAAGACAACTCAGATCTTCATCATGTCAATTATAGCCTTCACCGTCTTTATAAGAACACAGATGAAGTATGGTACCATACAAGATGGAGGAAAGTTCTATGGTGCATTGTTCTTCAGTCTCATTAATGTTATGTTTAATGGGATGGCAGAGCTTGCATTGACTATATTTAGACTTCCTGTGTTTTTCAAACAAAGGGATTTCTTGTTTTATCCAGCTTGGGCTTTTGCCTTACCAATTTGGGTCCTTAGGATTCCCCTCTCCTTGATGGAGTCAGGGATATGGATCATCCTCACATATTATACCATTGGGTTCGCTCCTTCCGCAAGCAGGTCTGTCTTTCCTTCCATTACTCCTGATGAATGAGTAAAACTCATCTGCATATAACTCGCAAAACACATATACGCTGTCATGTATCAATTTCTTGTTTATATTCACTAACACATTAATATGTCACAGATTTTTCCGTCAACTATTGGCATTCTTTAGTGTGCATCAGATGGCTCTATCTCTCTTCAGATTCATTGCAGCACTCGGAAGAACACAAGTTGTCGCCAACACGCTTGGCACCTTCACTCTGCTGGTAGTTTTTGTACTTGGTGGATTCATTGTTGCCAAAGGCTAGTGTTCATTCCCTTATGCTGTTGATGCTTCTTCATTTGCTTAAGCTATCTGCAATTCTAGTATAGTAGGGATGATTTCAACAATTTCAATCCTTCTGCAGATGACATCAAACCATGGATGATATGGGGTTACTATATTTCTCCTATGTCGTATGGTCAGAATGCCATTGTCCTCAATGAATTTCTTGATGATAGATGGAGTGCAGTAAGATTTCTGAAGCTAATTTGTCACTGGCACCAACATTTTTCCATTTTTATGTTAATAAATGGTGTGTTGTTTTTTCTTGCAGCCCAATCATGCACGTTCTCTGATTGATGAACCCACCGTTGGAAAGGCTCTTCTCAAATCCAGAGGCATGTATACTGAAGACCACTGGTATTGGATTTGTATTGCGATACTCCTCGGATTTTCTCTGCTTTTCAATCTCTTCTTTATAGCAGCATTAACTTACCTGAACCGTAAGTATTGTTTCTCATACTACTACCATATCAAGTATACAAACAATTTTTGATTTTGACAATACTTCTAAATTAAAATGCAGCTTTGGGAGAAACTAAATCTGTTACCGTGGAAGATGGCGAGGGTAACAAGAGCAGGAAGCAGTCGTCTCCTTATGGACAGAGAAAAGTGGGAGCAACAGAAATGAGTGCAGCATCTACAGCCCCATCGTTTGAAGGTTCCAAATCTCACAAATTTTGTTTCTAAAACTTGTCATTGATTTGTCTTCTTAATGGTAGTTGCTGATAAAGATGATTTAACACTGTATATATCTGAAAAATACTATGGGAACTTAACTTGCTTCTATATGAGTTGAAGAGTTTTACCTTATAAGTTAAGTAATCCACTTTGCAATGCAGAGATTCTTGTTGATCACATTTCGAAGGTGCAATTATGGTCATTGTGTCTTGTGTTTCATATGTGCATAACCTTACATGCATCCGGTGGAATTGATGGCGGACCGTAAACCTTTAGCTAGAAGAAACCCAATGAGCCAAGTTTCTGCTTTCTCACTTAAGCTATGCGCATGAATGCAGGTATTGATATGGCAGTAAGGAATCATCCAGAAAACTCCAATTCTGGTGCCACAGAAAATGCAGTTACGAGGAAAGGAATGGTGTTGCCCTTCCAACCGCTGTCACTTGCATTTGATCATGTCAGTTACTTTGTTGATATGCCAGCTGTAAGTCTCTTCTCCGATGTCTCTATTTTCTATGTATTCTAGTTTTTAAGTTGACCTTGTTCATTGGTCAAACACTGTATTCCACATGGGAAAGATTTAGAAATATTTCAAAGAAAAGCAACTCCAAATCAATTAGTAAATAATGCAGTGGTGAAACTTTCGCAGGAAATGAAGAGCCAAGGAATTGAAGAGGATCGCCTCCAACTGTTACGATATGTTAGTGGTGCTTTTAGGCCTGGTGTTCTAACAGCATTAGTTGGTGTAAGTGGTGCTGGGAAGACTACTTTGATGGATGTTCTAGCAGGCAGAAAAACTGGGGGATATATTGAAGGAAGTATCAGTATTTCTGGTTACCCCAAGAACCAAGAAACTTTTGCTCGGGTTAGCGGTTACTGTGAACAGAATGATATTCATTCTCCAAATGTTACAGTATATGAGTCTCTACTGTACTCTGCTTGGCTGCGCCTACCAAAGGATGTCAATGCAGAAACGCGAAAGGCATGTTGTCTTACACCTAGATCTTGTCCTCATTAAGTCCAGTATTTTAAAGTTTTACCAACATTTTATTGATATCATTATTTTGGTAATTTATTCCGCAGATGTTTGTTGAGGAAGTCATGGATTTGGTTGAGCTGAATCCGCTGAGGAACTCTCTAGTTGGCCTTCCAGGAGTTGATGGTCTGTCAACCGAGCAGCGAAAGCGACTCACAATAGCTGTAGAGTTGGTTGCCAATCCATCCATCATTTTCATGGATGAACCAACATCAGGTCTCGATGCTCGAGCTGCTGCAATTGTGATGCGAACAGTTAGAAATACTGTGGATACAGGACGGACTGTCGTCTGCACAATTCACCAACCGAGCATAGACATTTTTGAAGCTTTTGATGAGGTATTTGAAAATTTTAATATCTTCAATTTGGTTTCTGCCTTTAACCTTGCGTCTTATTGATATGATTTCACTTTGCCTATAGCTATTCTTGATGAAAAGAGGAGGACAAGTCATTTATGCCGGACCTCTTGGGATCCAATCCCACAAGCTTGTAGAATATTTTGAAGTGAGTGTAAAATTTTGGCGTGCTTGTATTGTGATCTATGAAGACTGCTTGAAAGATTGAAACTAAATGTTCGAGTTTTGTTCATTACCAATATCTATAATGTTTTGCAGGCTGTCCCAGGTGTACCAAAGATCACAGATGGTTACAATCCTGCTACATGGGTGCTGGAAGTCAGTTCTAATTCAGTGGAAGCTCAACTTGATGTCGATTTTGCTGACATTTATGCCAACTCTGATCTGTATCGGTAAATGGCGTTATATAACTTTATCAATTCACCTTCATTTTAATGTCTTCTCTTAACTATAGAAATAGATTTACATTGTCATCTTTCTTTTCACCAGGAGGAATCAAAGACTCATCAAAGAACTGAGCACGGCAGCACCAGGATCAAAGGACCTTTATTTCCCCACCAAATATTCACAAGACTTCATTACTCAATGCAAGGCTTGCTTCTGGAAACAGCACTGGTCCTACTGGAGGAACCCGCCTTACAATGCCATTCGGTTCTTTATGACAATATTTGTTGGACTTATATTTGGAATGATTTTCTGGGATAAAGGAGATAAGATGTAAGTAAAGATTTTTATTTTTTATCCTATCATTGTTACAGTGGATTCCTGAGCAGGACATTATTTCTGATTCGTAAATTGATATTGAGTCAACTGCAATACATAATGTAAACAGACACAAGGAACAAGACCTGATAAATCTGCTGGGAGCAATGTATTCTGCTGTCCTTTTCCTTGGAGCTACCAACACTTCTTCGGTGCAGTCTGTTGTGGCGATTGAACGAACAGTCTTCTACCGTGAAAGAGCAGCCGGGATGTATTCACCTTTGCCTTACGCATTTGCTCAGGTAAAAAAACCTGAAACTTGTACTGCAAAATATTTGAAAGATACATGTAGCATACTTCAATTCAGGGGATGGAAACAGAAAAAACAAAGAACATAAGCACATTTAACTGACCCTATATTACGCTTTGCAGGTTGCCATAGAGACAATATATGTTGCAATCCAAACATTTGTATACACTCTATTGCTTTACTCGATGATCGGGTTCCATTGGCAGCTTGACAAGTTCTTGTGGTTCTACTTCTTCATCTTGATGTGTTTCATGTACTTCACCCTCTACGGAATGATGCTTGTAGCTCTCACTCCAAACCATCAAATTGCTGCTATTGTTATGTCTTTCTTCCTAAGCTTCTGGAACCTGTTCTCCGGATTCCTCATTCCAAGGACAGTAAGTATCAAACACCAAATACCATGTTAAGGATTAATATGCATATTCACCTTACCTTTTTTTTGTATGAAAATTGAAATTCCATACCTGAAATTTGCAGCAAATTCCGATATGGTGGAGGTGGTACTACTGGGCATCTCCGGTGGCCTGGACAATCTATGGCCTTGTGACATCTCAGGTCGGTGACAAGCTTTCTGAGGTTGATGTAGCAGAAGAAGGTTGGATGACAGTGAAGGAGTACATTAAGAAGCATTATGGATTTGAGCATGACTTCCTTGGAGCTGTTGCTGCAGCTCATATTGGTTTTGTTCTCATGTTCTTCTTTGTCTTTGCTTATGGAATCAAGTTCCTCAACTTCCAAAGAAGATAGGAAAAAGTTGTTGAAAATGTTTTTGCATACGTATGTGCATGAGAATAATTGAAGCGAAGAGGAAACTTAGAACTTTTCTGTGTCTTCAGGGCTTATGCATTCACCCCATGTAATAATTTATTGTTCTTTGATTGAAAATTCTAATAAAAGGTACAAGCCTTGTATTGATTGAATAATTTGAATGAACAATCTTTACAAGCCTTGTATTGATTGAATAATTTGAATGAACAATCTTCCATCACAAATGTGAAATACGATATTCTAAGTTATGTCCATTATTTGTATTTTTTCTTAAATATTACCCTCGGTTAATCCTTTATAGAAAAGAGTAATTTAAGGTTGCAATATAGGTGTCCTCAAGTCAAGTAGGGGTCGGAGTCTGAATAAGTGCCCTAAAATTAAGTAGGTGTCCGAGTCTAACTTTTTGATTAAACCAAGTTATTAAGAGTTTTGATTAACCCCATATGTCCAAGTCTGATCATCCAATTAACCTAGATGTCCAAGTTTTGATTAATCCCAGTTTAACTAATCATAGGTGTCCACATCTGATCATTCAATTAACCGTGCATGTCCAAGTGTTATCATTCGATTAGACCCTTTAGTAAAACAATATAATTTAATTACTCACCACATAACAATGTCATTTGTAAGTGTTCATTACCTTTTTTAATAGGATGTTAGATGATGAGACTCATTCAATAATAACATTCATACTTGTGGTCATTGTTCTGAAACCCAGCTTGGCTCGGCTAGCCAGAACCTGAGGCCTTCTCTAGGCTAGGTTACCACTGTCCACTGTTTCAAAATCCCTAACTTGATCGTCGGCTACTTGTGGCCACTTTCTGGCGCCCCTTACCCCTTGCCCCTTCCCACTCACCCCCACCCTCACTTGGCTGCCGACCACTCCTTGGTGTCAATAGCGGTTGGAATCTAGTTGGAAAAATCAACCCAATCGTGATGGTATACCCAAGTCACAAACAACGAACGAGGGGCTTCCAAGTGCCAAGGTTAGAGGGGTTTTGTAGAGTGATGGTCGATGGTTCAAATGGTGGTGTTGGATTGAATTTTCGACGTTGAATTTTGGTTGGAAAAATCAACTCAATTGCGATGATATATGCGAGTCAAGACCGATGAACGAAGGACTACCAAGTGTTGGGGTTAAAAGGGTTTTGTAGGGTGGAAGTCAATGGTTCCGGTGATAGTTTCAGATTGAATTTTGGCTATCAGAATCAGTCGACATTTAGCCTAGAAAAGCAAAACCCTATCTATGCAGTCAGATCACGAAGGTGAGTTTGTTGGATTTCAAACCTGTAGGGACTGATGCGTATTTATCAAGGGTGTGTTTGCTAGATTTCAAACTTACTGAATCATCAGTTAGACCGCTAGTTTAACTAGTCGAACCGGTCAACAATCGGGTTTCAGAACACTGCTTGTGGTTTCAACAAATGTGAAGAAAGATGTAACAAATGAGAATTAAAGAGGTAGAATAATCGAATTCATTCAAGGGAATCCCCAAAGGTCACCCTAATACATGTAGCAAAATACTTAAGAAATTAGTAGCGGATGATAATAAGAAGTTTTCAGTTTCACTTCTGTATACGTTACTTAAGGTAGAGCAATAACAATACAAAGGAAAGAGCATACAGAGGAAGGAATCTCTTGACTAGGAACATATAATTCCAGCTCCACCCTCAAGTAAATCTTTCCAATTGGCTTAACTATCGTTGGGTTTGACAGGGGCGTTCGCCAAGTCCATAATCTCCGCCTTGCTCTTTATAACACAATATTTCTTGGTATTATAATCCACGGTATCCAAATCCTCTGAAATGCCCATGTATCCGTACAGCAGGTGTTCCTCCACTTTGTCTCCTGGCATTCTGGTTTCAGCAATGTTGATGCCTTTGCCATTGTTGATTAATCGGTTGAAATCTTTTCTCCCCTGCTTATTCTCGGCAAAATACTTATGAAGCTTCTCTGCATTTGCCAGTCCAGAAAATGTTCCCAAGAACTTCACCACCATAATACTTTGGTCAGCAGGCCTCCCCAGGCACACGGTAATTTTTCCCCCAACAATACCTTTACCTGCAAATACTCCAAGCAATAAAAAGGGGTAATGTATGAAAACAAAAGATTGCAAGTCTGTTCATTGAATTGAACAAACCAAATTCCTAACATAAATTTAAAAAAAGTTATGACATTAGGCCTATCGCCCTTATTATAATGGTTAATTCAAAGCACATAATAAGCACATATACCAACTTAAAAAACTCACATATTGGAGTATAACTTTTAATCCAATTTTCCTTTTTCTTGATTTTTCTTTTTTATGTCCTTGGTGTCAGATGGATAACTTAATGTTTATTGTTTAACCTCAGGTTACCTCTTATAAAGGCCTCAACCCCTTCGATAGGTATGACTTTCTGTTCTTTTGGATTGTTGTTTGACATAGAGATGTTGCGGATGATAACAACTGGAGGCCAGAGGATCAAATCCTCCTTGGCAGCCATAGCTTCTTCATCAGACAAGACCTCTGGAACCCATGTTATTGTTTCTTGGGGCACATCACTACTCCACCCTAACAAAATACATATCGCTTTGTGAAGACCCAGGTGCTGTGCTCTCAACCCAACCTTGTGAGACATAAAGGTATGTGTTACCAAGCGTTGAGTGTTTGCAAACTCCTTTGACATGCTGTAAGAGAAGAGACATATAAGCAATTGATAATGGATTATAACAGAGGCAACAGGGAATACTCGACAGGTCTCCTATCTGTAACTTCAGAAGTAGAAACATTGATTCTATTTGGTCTTTCAGACGGAAAATGAGAGTTTGAAAACAACTAATCATTAAAGTATTAATGGCAAATATGGTGATAGATTTATAAAGTAAACAAAGCAAATAAACCACCATTACTATTTCTATCAGAGAGACTACAAAGCAAAAATTAAAAACAAATACCATCTTTATGAAACCTAAAACCGTATGCATGCAACATCCCAGGAATTTAAGCTGGCAATGGAATGAGTTTACGAAGCTCCAAATCTTTTCTCAAGCCAATCTGATCTTTTCATCAGAGTCAAACAGCAGCCAAACTTGCAATATCTAACTGAGACAATTAGACAAAGCATCTAAAGAAAATCTTCCCCACAGGATGCTTTCTTTCAAAAAGCAGAGCATGAATAGGAGCTTTTTTTCACAAATATACCAAAGAAAAACAAGTTTGTCACAACTGTTCAACCAACTCCATAGATGCAAACAAAGGCTCACTAAGAACAAAACATGCCAAATGCCCGGGGTTGACATTCAAAAGAATGTCATAGTGTCTCAAAGCTTAGAAAATCAATTGATTAAAAATGAATCAATAATACTGACAGATTTTCTTTAATATAACCACTTCTCTGTGAAGCTACAATTCCAATACATGAAGCTATGTTCGAAGGTGAAAAAGGTCCTCATACTAATAAATATGCATCTATTTCTTCTTGCAGCCAATATTAATTCAGAAATTCTTGATTCTGTCCTTGACTTGGATTAGAACTTGAAGAAAATAGACTTTGCCAAATAATGAACAAAATTCTAAATGAGCTGACTAAAGAGGAGTTTATAGCTTGCTTCCATGATCTACAGAGGCTGTTGTCAGGTCAATATTATTTGTCTCCCTCTTAAATGATGAAAACTTGAGAGTTAATCTCATGTAATCTAATCCACGAAAAGCTGCAGCAAGCTAAACCCAGCAATACCTGCTGCAACAGCTTCCCTCAAGCTAACAGAAAAATCATCATCCAATATCACACCCACATCATTTCAAAAGATTCTAGTTAAATGACCCTACCCTGTCAGTGAACTTGCCATGGAAAATGCGATGCATAGACAATGGAAAAATACTCAAGTAGTTGCCTATGCGTTCTTGAAAATTGGAAAATACTACAAGCTTAGACCTATTAAATACAATGAAGACTCAACCCCTGTCCCACTCCACCCACATAGATGTCTTCATCACTACAACAAATCAGATTTTGCAATCATATTATTGTCACTAATTTTTCCAAGCATGGCATGTCTAGTATAAATTGTCCATCCAACAAAAAGATTGCTACATTCTATTATTGCTAAAAGGCTAGAAATCACATTACAGACAGAAACTGTATGTACACGCTAAAACAATACAGACACCCTATCCTTGTGCAAATCCAAAAGATCATATCAGCACATTTCTATACAGCAACCCCAAATGTCGAATCCTAGAACTCTTAATATCATCCAAAGTCTCATAAATGGATGTTAGATACTTATAAAACATGTTTAGCATTTTTTCTCATGTCTACAAAAGAAGATTTGGAATTCTTAATCAATTCTTTTTACTAATGACAGAAGCTTTTAATCCATATATATGGAGTCATTCCTCTCAACTAATCCACTTAACCTCAAAATATTTACATCAATTGACCAAATAACTACTCTGGAAATGAATAATAAAGTTTACTTAAATCCACCAACCTATTCATGAAAGTACTGCATGGCTAATAGAATGTTCATCTACAATAAGAGCCTCCCGATCTAGCTTCATGAAGTAACATTTATCCAAAGAATTAACAATATATCAGAGCTCCATCACACAACTTTGATAAAACTAAATCATCGAGCTCTAGAAGTTGCAGGAACACTAACAATTAAACCTAATATTATTTTACGAAATCGCACATATCCATAAAAGTAAAAACCCCAAAGAAACCTAAACAGCTAGACCTATAAGACCACCGTGCATACTTACTTGACTGCAGCAGTAAAAGTTATGCTAGAGAACTCCTGAATCAATAAATGAAAACATGTGCTCCACTTTTAGAATGCGTGTGAGAAAAGAATACAGACCTTCTGCCGCATGCAATGCAGAATAAACTACCAGCTTTTCCTTGCTCCTGGTATCTTCTTCGAACAGATGAATTCACATTCAACCTTTTAGAGTACTCTAAGAAGGCTTTATGTGCCAATTGTTTGAATTCCTCAGAATCTTCTGACGGCTCCGACTCCGCAAGATTCAACCAATCCTCTGATTTGTCCCCATCATTATCATGCACATCCTCATCATAATCCTTATTTTTTTTCCAAAGTTTGTGCTGTTTATAAAGGCCACTTCTTCTATCACTATGGTATGAGTTATGCCATCCTAAAGAAACAGGTCTTGTATGATCCTTTACATATCTGCTATTAGGCTTATAAAATCTGGCTGAATACCTTTTTGAATTTGCCAAAGAATCTCGGGAAGAGAACCAATCATCAGATGCATAATTTCCAGGATGTTCTCGACCATCATATGACCTTCCAGTCTTTCTGTATTCATTGTCGTTAAATCTCCGAGTCTTTGGAAAGTGTACACCACTCATATCTTCTTCAAAATACTCCTCATCACTCCCATATAGATCCTCAAACTCTTCAGGTATGTTCCTTTTGCTTGACATAATAATTCTATCATTATGCCTATATATGTCATCCTCCAAGCTATGTTTCCTTTTAAAAACATTTTCAGATGGCTCATGTATGCCAAGCTCCCCTTCCTTAATTCTCCGCGTTCTTACAGCAAGTTTGTGCCTTTCTGAATCATATAGTAGGTCAGAAGAACTTTGCAATCTTTCTTTCTGAATCTCTGGACCTGGATCTCTCCCAAAAGCGTAATCTGATCTTATATATGAGATTTGACGATCCTGTGGTACACCCAAATGTGATATTCCATAGTTGTGGGGCAGTGTCTTCTCAAACTCCGCATGAGTAGATCCAGGATTCAAATACTCCTCACTTTGCTTTAATGGATATGATTTTCGGCTCATATCAATGTAGTCTGAAACTGTCTGCTTTTGTAAAGTAGGATGGTCTAATGCACTGCTCCTTCTCAAAGAAAGCTCTGGGTTATCGATCCTGTCTACAACTGGGAGCATATTACTTGCTCTTGGCAAATCTCTATGATCGTAATCCTTAAGTGCATTATCATACTCTAGTCGAGTGTGTGGAGATATCATTCTGCGTAAATCATCAGACAGATATCCTCGATCATCATTTGCTAACAATCTGGTTTTAGGATACTTATAATCCTCACGCTCAGTCCTGGAGGGGCTATATGCCCCATGCTGGTAATACGTCAAGTTTCTTACTTCAGCTTCAGTGTTTCTCAAAGTATCCACAAGTGGCCTTTGCCTATACGCATTAAAACCAGTAGATTCTGTTAGTTTTATACTACTTCTTGGATATCCATCCGAAGTAGGCAAGGTCACATCATCCTGGTAAGAAACTGGAAACTCACTCATTGCTGTTCCTGAAGAGGAGCCCACTTTGTATTGGGAGTTGCTCAAGAAATCTTTAGAATTCCCTGATGGCACAGTAGTGTACACAACATCTCTGGAGTGATACATAGGTTTCTCCTTTCCAATGTAGGATTCAGTTCCTGCGAACTTATCCCTTGAAAGATACAAGGGTTTCTCTTCTGCTTTGTAGGCATCTGGTATTGGCTCTCTATACTGAAGCTTTTCATGCTCAAACCGACCAATATTCATGCTCCGAGATGACAGTGGTATACTTCCACCATGCTCACCATAATTTTTTGCATGACCTTTATCTGGAGGCAACTGATATGATCCCCTTATCTCGCCCTCTTCCGGTAGCACTGATTTCTCACTTAACATTCCATGACCATCAATTTCCACAATCCTGTTTTCGTTATAATCCTTCTCTTTACTAACTCTTGAACTACCATGATCATACCCATAAACAGGCTTCAACCTAGAGTTTGTACCATGATCAAAATCCAAATCTTCATGATAACCATATTTCCTAGGCATACCATCATCGTCAAACTGAGGCCTTTTATGCAATATCCTGTACTGAGGCGGTGACTTTGAACGGACCTTTTCGGTCCTTCCTCCACCTATATTCCAACCGTAATCCCTCCTCTCAATCGATCCACTTGTCCTTTGCCCATCTGAAATCCTCCTAGAACCATCTACCTTATGCGGACTCACACTCCTCCGAGACCTATCGGGTGCATCGTGACGCGAAACCAGATATGGGTCATGACCCATGCCACTTTTTCCATGTTGATTACGTAGTTTCGATGATGTTGACATCGTCATATGATCTTCATGCCTTCTAGATTGCATCTTCCTAAATCACTTATCAACGGAACAAAAACTACCACTACGACTTAATCACTGATCAATTCTCTATAAATTACAAAACCCTCAAGGATTTTGACCGAATTAAGTCTATAAACACACAGTTTATCACTAGATTCAGTTTCGATAAGCTCAATAATCGAAACCCTAAAAAATACCAACTATTCAGTGAAGTTTTCGACAAAATTGCCAAGTAATCTTTAACTTTACAACGCTAAAAAGTAACAATTGCAAACACAGATCTAATCAAATCAAAACCCTAACCCTGATAGGGTTTTGAGTTTTGAAAGTAAGAAAGTGAAAAAAGATCATTTCAAACCTTGTTTTGGGACGAATCACGAGACCCCATGATGGATTTGTATCAAATTTTTCGATTTTGTTGATCAATTTTGAGTGCAGATTTTTTGTTTTTCTAGTTCAGTTATAAGTTGAAAGAGAGATCCACAGTCGTATGAAAGGTACCTCTCAAGTATTCCAAATCGATTGATTAATCAATTAAATTAATAATCGGTGCTTTCTGAGTGGACATAAAGCAGCTTTTAATTAGAGGCGAATATTGTGGGCCGTGGTGGACCGGTTGCTAAGATAGGGTTCCTTACAATTAGAGTAACCGTTCAAATTAGTTTTTGGGTAACCCGGCCCAGTCTTCTTTCTTAATTTAAGCCCAAATATATACATAAGGTTAGCAATTCGTAACTTAAATTCATATAAATCTCTGACCAAAACCCAAAAAAAAATAAAAATAAAAAATCATATAAGTCGTTTAGCATTATCAATTCATTGGTGTGATAACAGAGGGTCACCTTTTGCTAATTTTTTTTTTTTTTATGATCGAGGTGTCTGTGCCAATTAGCGCACACCTCAACTAATTCTTGAGGTCATTAAACACCTTACGGTCTAATGTTTCAAGATAAACCACAAATGTGTTAGATGGTTCCAAGGTAATTCGAATCTAAAAAGTCAATAAAAAGACTAAATTTTATTGACCGTCAGACCAACCACTTGGGGTTTATAAATGCTTATTAAAAAAGGATGAAATTAAAATAATAATGTTACATTAATAAGATTAATTTCACCCCCGGTCTTTGAGAACCATTTTTTTACCACATAAGAAAAAATTGAACAAAATTACCCTTCTTTTTTATAACTTCAATCGCATTCACATTCCCTAAAAATCACTAACTTTGTAACAAAGCCATTCTTATGGCTATAAGAATTGAGTCCATTTTTATAAATTTTAATCTTTTTATGGTTATATATATGTATAATCAAGAAATATGTACTTGTTTTAGCTATGTATATTGGATAGTTATAACAATGTTTACTTTATCATTTTGGTATAAATTCACTTTTTTTTTTTTTTTTTTTTATCATCACCCTTTTATATTGTTAATATATATTCACGCTTTATTTAAAAATACTGAAATTGTTGTTTGTAAAATTCGATCCGATCCTTAATCAAACCACTTCTAGATCCAATATTAATCTCAAAAGGTTAAAAAGGTACTTAAAAATATGTTTTTGTTCAATGAATAAATGGAAATATTACCTCATCATTTATACTATTGCATTTTCACATAGTCTTAATCGGGGAGGGCTCATACACACAAACAAAACATTCATTTCGGGCTAATTTTTCTCACTAAAAGAAAAATCTCCTTAAAATACAAGGTCACGGTATGGGCTAAGAAGAATTCGATGCTACATTTTAGTTATTCCTCCATGGATCATTAACTACAACATGGTTTCGTAACATATTAGGGCATTATATTGATATAGATTCTTCAATTTTCGTATTATTCATTATTTGCATCAAATCTTTAAAAAAAAAAAAAAAAATGTATCATCTTCATTTGTCACTATAGATTTTTTTTTTTTTTTTTTTTTTTTTGGAGATAGGGGTGTTTGGGAGCTTGTGTGCACCTTAGCTAGTCTCTCGGGCCTTGAAATTAACAGTCAATAAGCCTTCATGGCTAGTCGTGGGGATTCAAACTAGGACTATTGAGTAATAACACCCAAGAGTCCAAGCGAACGTCAAGTTGCTAAGGTAGTTTTAACTTTAAGATTTCATTACATCATACCCTTTTGTTAGAGTAGATGCCTTAGAGCAATCAATATTGTAGAATTAACTCTTTATAATAATGTTCATTAATCAATAAAATGCATTTTATTCTATATCGCGTAAATCATTATATTGAAATATGTATTGATATATGTCCTTAGAATGGTAGAACCGTGACAGGGTATCAAGTGTTTCAAATCTTGATAATGGAAACCCTATGAGCAATATATGGTGGCCATTCTAGAAACGTCCGTAGCCCCAATATTATTCTGAAGTAAGGGCACATATAATACGGTAAGGCTATCATAGTGTTGAACGACCCTGTCGAAAGACTGACTGATCTTACTTGTCAAGGTTGTTTGGTGACACCTGGTGCACCACATGGGTGCTTGCTGTCTGTAGCAAGTTCACTGGACTGACCCCACCAGAGGATTCCATATGGATGGTAACCCCAGTGTCTATGACAAATCCTCTAACGATGGTGGTACATGTGACCTTAGACTTGAGATCACCAGAGCACTTTGTGCACCGATTGGTGCAGTTTGACACTAGCCTAACGCAGTTCTATTCAGACTGTCAATATGGTGGTGATTGGCTTATCAAGGAGTGTATCAAGACTATGGTGGATAGACAGAGGATTCATCACTCCCGGGTACGGAGAAGTTACTCCTCACGGCGTAATTCAGTATATGGCAATGACACTAAAACTGTGGCCACGGTGGGATTAGTTGTTGCTCTATCTAGTTTATATTGGTCTAGAGACTGAATACATAATATCGAGAGTAACTAAGGTTGACACTATTTCTATGCCTTCGTCTCGTCAAGATAACGTATGATGAAATGATCGAATTGTACGGTAACCATATCGTTGACCATGTAGCTACTTTGTTGAATCCGAATCTATCGAGTGGCCACGATGCCTTGCTAGGGGCCAATCTTGGTCTGTGTATTAGTGAGACGATAATTGGTGTTAATTGCGATACTATACACTACCGGTATGATGAGGAGCCTATGGGTCACACACATAGAAGATAATTTAGACTCAAGAAGTAAGAAGGGCGTTTTATTCTTTTAGGGAAGGGTATTTTGGTAATTTCACAGTGCAATTAAATTTGCTGAGGTTGTAGCCTTTTATTTAATTTGTTAAAAATAAAATAGTGAAATTACATTTAAATATTGTTAACATATATTTAAATAAATTATCATTATTGTTATGTTAATATATTATATTATATTATATATATATTAAATATATATTAATTGATTTTAATTGAGATAATGATAAATAAAATAAATATCTAATTAGGAGTGTTTGGAAACATGGGGTGTTTGGGTTGAGCCTAAGCCTATCCATATGGGAATATGGCAATTAAGCTTTACTATAAGAAAAAGGTTATTGTAAAAGTTAGAGATTTCATTTTTCATCATTCTTGTAAAAGAAAAACACAGCCCCTAAACACCTCTCCTCACGCCAACTTTTTTTTTTGCCTAAAATCAACACTCTTCATTTCTTTGATTCTTAAGGCTAAACATGGATCTAGCAAATCCCTCCTTAGTTCCTTGTGATTTTCTTCGTGTGGACTACGTCGTTTGACCCTACCTTAGGTTGGTAGCAAAATACATTCAGAGACAAATTTGGAGGAGCCTCCAAACGTGCGTATGGTTTCTTAAACTCTAGATTAATTTTCTGCAGATTCTTATTGCGATATAAACTGTAAAATTACCCTGATCTTGGTTCTATGGAACGATCCTTGTTATTATATTTTTGTTTTCCGTTGCCTCAATGGATTGTTTCCTAACAGTGGTATTAGAGCCTAGGGTACCAGATTTTACAGTTTTTATGTGGATGTTGATAACATGTATTTGATGATAATATTTTGCCTTAAAGAATTGCGTAAAATCTGCCTTAAAAGCATGTTTTAAGAAATCAATCAATCGATTATTTTAATTTGTTGATGATCTACAAATTTGGTATATGGGTGATGGATTTTTGTTGAAATCAGTGTATATATTGATTGCAAATCCTTTGGTGTGTATTTGGTTACTGTATGAACAGATCCGAAGCTACAGATCTGTGTACGCTCGCTGCAGCGATATAACTCATTGTTGCGGCGTGTGTTGCTCACGTTCGCACTGATTACGAAATCAGCGCTCGCCGCAGCGTATAAACCATCGCTGCCGCTAGGACTAGCGCTGTACAAAATCGCGCTCACTGCGACGGCGATCGCACATTGAGTGTGAACGTCAGTTACCAGCGCATGCTGCAGCAATCTAACTTGCCGTAGCGAGCGCACTTCCGAGTGCACAGGGGCCAGATTATAAAATTTCAAAACTTTTGGACCAAACGCATCTACAAATTTTCGGGGTCATAAATAATAACCCACCAATTTAAAAAATTGATTGTTTTTAAAATGTATGCTATGTACTTGTTTGTATATTGCATGGTGCCTGGTACATAAGCCTTAGACCTATGGTGAATGTTTTAAATATTTTTGGATAGTATGGTTGTATAATTTATTAAATAGGGCCTGCGTGTCCTGGCTTTCTCCTCTTCTCTCTCATCTCATTCCCCTCGAATGTAATTGAGGTTTCTAAATTTATTGATGTAAAGAATTTTGTATATTATTCTTATTGTAAATTTAGTATGATGTATTTGTAATGTCTTAAAGACGGAGCAAAGGACGAGGCAACCATACTTGAAGACTCAAGATATTTATTACAGACCCTAGGTGACCCCATCGATTCCTTTAGGCTCGAGGAAATCGGTTTTAGTTAGGCCATGTTCGGCACATTTAATATTGTATTTAGAATGCATCTAAGGTTGAATGTTGAATAACATGCCAAACAATGTCATTCTAACAAAGATAATAATCTGGCGAGATATTAATAACAAACCCTCAATTAAAGTATATTAAGTCACGTAAGCCTTCCATCACCATGGTTTTAATCAAACCACTGTTTGTCAAAACCTTGTTCGCCAAAGCGAAGGGTACACTTCTACCAGTGGGAGGTTAAAATGCATTGGAGTTTTCCTTAATGGTGATGGGTCGACTTAAAATGATGGTTTTGCTTGTTCGCCAAAGTGAAGGTTGATACACGTTATAAGCATAGTAGTGTATTACACATTTTGTGCTACGTGGTGATATGTATGGTCCATTCTACTGATACTGAGACACACTTGAACAATGGTTGGAGCCACTGGATTGTGTGATTGGCTTGTTGGCTTTTTCACATTTGAGGTTGTAGTAGGA